AGTTCACTAGACTTGAAGTGAACTAAATAAAAATCATTAGTAATCCCGTTGCACGAATCGCCAGGACGGGATTTCATTTCCATTTTGATTACTTGGAGTGGCACAACTCCAAGTAATTTTGCCAGTTCATCTTTGATCTGATCCAGGGATTCACCACTGGGCAGTCCTTTCATGACAACCTTGAACACACGTTCAGTTTTAGTGTCGTAGGTAAAAAATGTGTGCTGCTTCTCAGTAAGATACTTGAGAAGACATTTAAATCCGTCCAAGGTTTCAGCCAATACACGGCATTCACCTAGACGTCCAATTTGTAGTGAAAACTTAACTTTCACGAAGTTCAAAAGTTCCATGCGAAGAGCATGGAAATCGGAGGTGGTTATCACAATAGGAGGAATCTTTTCCTTCTTGGCATTATGCCGGGAAAGTTTACTAGAATTTTTCTTGGATGATGGATCATTCTCATCATCCGTGAGCAAATCAAATTGATTACTCAAATTAATTTCATCAGAAGGGGGATCGAGAGATTGCCCCTTTCATTTCCGTAAAGGCACCATGGCGGCAGTAAATTTTTATCCAAATCGACTTCAAAGCAGATTACTATAAGAATCTTGAGGATCGAAAAGGAATTTTCCAAATCGATTTCCAAGAAGGACTACCTCGGCTAGGGTCCAAACAAGGATCGAAAAGGAATAAGAGTTGAACAAAGTAGAAATTTTACAGGTTCAGCACTGAAAAATGCTGTTTAAATTTGTTGTAGCTTTAGGTAGTAGTAACACTTCTTTCAGCAAAAAGCAAATAGATCCGCACGGCAAGAGAGCACGATGCGGACTGATGAATGTGGGTGTTAGTCAACTCAACGAGCATAGCTGTGAAGCCTTCGAATTACACTTCTCTGCGACTACCTCGGCTGCGTTGGGAAAATCCTCAATCAGCCTTAACCTTCATTACATCGGTGACACAGGAGACGGATTTCTTTGGCACATGTTTTTGTTGAAGTAACTGAGTTATTATCTCTTTCTGTTGTAAAGTTAAAATTAAGTTTTGATTAATAAATTATTATTTTTTAAAAGAAGATGGATTTGTATATAAATAAAGAGACAAGAATTAGTAATTTCCATTTAATTCCACTACCTTATATGCGTATCCTTGACCGATACGCGTAATTCGTCTACAATGTGCTGACTTCTTCAGTGTCTTGTACTAATATTCGACTACAAAGTACAAGACACTGAAGAAGTCTGCCCATTGTAGACGAAATACGCGTACCAGTCAAGGATACGCAAATAAGGTAGTGGAATTAAAAGGAAATTACTAATCCATCCCTCTCTCTCTCTTTATACAGGTATTCTACTAAGACGCCCACATTCATCAGGTTTGGATTTGTATGTTGTTGATTTAATTTGAAAGATCGTGATATAGTTCATATCGCTGCTTGCGGGCAGCCTTTCGTTGTGTACAATGTTCAATGCCACACGTCGAAAGCACTACTACTGATACTATTGACGACCGACCGGACACCACCACACACGATGATTGAATAAGCACCGTTCAGTGAGACCGGATGGAATTCGATTTTTAAATCTGTGTTAGGGAAATCGCTTTTTGCAGGCAATCTGTGATAATTTTGATCATCATTGCAACAGATGGACATTTTTGCAATTTTCAATAGTGACCTATTGAAAATTAATAAAGTGTTCAATTAAGTAGATTTGTAGCAAAATTTCTAATCGATTGGCTTGTTTAGAATTGAAGTCCATCCGCTGTTGACAGAGTTATATGTGGTCAAAACCTGACCACTTTTCGTAATGTGATCAATTTTGAAATTTCACCCCAAATATGTTGCCGAAAGACGTAATCCTACGTAAAAAAAAATAGTGATTGGACATGAGGCTAGACATCATACATATGAAGTCCCGATCCACCTCCAACTCTTTGAACCATGGATTATAACATTCCAGGCTCCAAGATTTTCAGGAAGTGTTTTTTTGACGTAGACATACTAGGGGAATTTACCTATTCTGGTCAATCTAAGCAGTGTTCGCTCTTCTATTAGCATTTACTCAACGTCACGCATACATATGACATGTTTGTTTGTATACAATCATATGCTGCTTTCTGCCTTATCCATTCCAACCCATAGAACGGTTTATATAGTTGAAGATGCTAAATTTCAAATAACAGACTAAAGTGGTAATTTTTATACGATAGATGAGGAGGAGATGAAAGTATAGAATTGATAGTTCCGTTTAGAGTACGGCAGTGTGAAAATTGTATATAGAGAGTAGACAGCGAGCTTGGACAACTTTAAGGAAGGTAAAAATCAGATTGAATGGTTCAAAACTATTTAAAATAATTTTCACAATGCACCAAACTTCTCAGGTGACTGTGAGTATCGTCGAGAACCTCTTTTTCTTCAGCAACCTTTCCATTTGACCTGGGTGTTAATCAGCGGTTCTATTAGCGACAACTCGAAATAAGCCACATTTTGTAATGAGCATGTTTCACTTCGAGACAAACTTGATCAGATTGAAGCTGAAAGACTAAGAAATCAATTGAATACATTCAGATGAATGAATACAGTGAAATTAACTGAAGCTAAGGAAAATTGCTAGTGATTTAGCTAGAGGAAATGACGGCTTCGGCTTGACAGACTATTTTCAGCAACCCAAATTGAAACACTATTTTCACTGGATTTTCTTACAAAAACACTTCGCTGAATGCATGCAAACGATTCTTTATGCTTTCAGCTTCAATTTGACTATATTTTTACCACTGAGAAAAAGCAATCTAGCAGGGTTTTCTTGAAATGAAACACACGCACTACAAATTGTAGCTGATTTCGAGTTGCCGATAATAGAACAGCAGATTTACATGCAGTTCAAATGGAACGGTTGCCGAAGAAAAACTGGTTGCCGACAATACTCGCTCTCACTAGAGAAGATTGGAGCTTTGTAAAAGCGTTTCAAAACAGTTTTTGACAATTCTTTCGACTGAAATTGTTAGAGCAGCTGGCAGCAAAAGATTGTAAACAAACCAATACTGCATATAAAGGCTATAGAAAGAAGGTCGCTGCTTAGGTTGCCGAGAATACGTAAATTCCCCTAGGTACATTTTATTATTTCCCCCATAACAACAGCTTGATTGATTACAAATAAAATTATTCGATAAAAATCATAGGTGTTTTAGAATTTCTCTCATTCATAGCTCATCATGTGAAGTTTTGAAATCTGCATCATTTCGAAGGTTCACAAGCTGACCGCAAAACAGCAACTTATTTTTAGCCTATTAAAACGCAAGCAAACGCTTCCTGCTTCGATGCAGCTATTCCCCGCCAGGTCACGCCACATTGCCATTATCATCAATTTACCATACAATCATCTTCGCATGTTCCAAAGCATTTCCAACACCGAACCAACCCAACAGCAAAGCATCAGCAACCGAACAGCTTGCTGCTGGCAAGGAGAGTCGATTGGTAGCGCAGTAGCACACGTTTCTCTTCGCTCTCTTTTTCCGCATTCCAATCCCTCAAAAGGCCATCGAGCAACCATGGCGCGCAATCGCTACAATGCTCACACGCTGGCCCATGGACCCAACCTAACTATGTTGATGGTTATGCTATACAGGAATCCACCGTTTATCCGCCGCAATTGCTCAATTGGTCCATTCAATTGAGCTCATTTTTCGTCGTGTTGATCAGGGTCAACCATAAACTTGTCACCTACAGAAAATCAGCTCAAATTGTTGGAAAACAACCGGGAAATTGCGGTGGGCGGTCGGCACCATCCACCACGTTATTCGGAGGATTCCTGTACTTACCTATGCTACCAACTATCGACCCCCACACCGTCCGTGATGGTTGTTGGTAATGATCGTGGTAGAAGTTTGAGGATTGGGGAAAATGATCCAAATTATGAATCGTGGGCTGCTGGGGAACGACGAAAGAATAACGCTTAATTTGATTCGCATTTAGGTTAATTTAGCCAGGTCTTTGATGAAATAATGTTCGGATGAGTGCAGCAACAGTTGTGAACGTGGGTGGAGGAGGGCGGGGGCCGTGGTGGCACCTATTTGAGTGTAAGTAACCCGATATGATTTGCATTCGTAATGCGTACAGCTTTGACGAGCGCGGCCAAATTGCCATGGACACGATTGTATACAAACAGAAAACGAAAAATATCCACATCGACCGACCCAATCGGGGGAGAGCGGAATACCGCAAGGAAGGGGCGCAAAGTAAAACTATAACGCTGGCAAAAAGTGACCGAACGAGTTCGTATCATCAAATGGCGAAAGGAAATAATCGAGCTTCAGGTATTTAAGTTTATCTCTGATTTTGCCTTCCTGCCTCCTCGCCGTGAATGAGCGTAGGATTAAGAGTACTGAATTTTAATTTCTGTGTACATTCTTTCGCGGCGTCTCGCACAGGAAATTGCATCATTTCAGGAAACTCGGAACGTTCGTGCTGTCAAAGCAAATTGGAGGAATCGAACAAATTTTTGCATTGACGGAAGGAAATTAAATAAAAAAGGAATAATAACGAACCCGAAGTAAAAACTGAAATAACAACAGGAAAGCACGAAAATAATGCGACCAAAGAGGTGTTCCTTGAATTAATTCATCTCCCATCCGCTGGGACCAGAACAGATCAGCTCGGGACTCTGGAGAAGGAGGGAAAAGGAATGAACAAGTTGCAAATTTAAAAACATCTACATTTTTGTTCACCGTCCCTTTTCTGGACTCGAGCATGGCAAAAAGTGGTCCAACCGGACCCCAAAAGTATTCCATTCCATAATAAAAGATTGCGCGAAAGATTGCAAGGGAGGAATATCGGAACAAGCGGGGCAACGCTGGTGCCCTGAAAACGAGAAGAATTTGAAACGAAATTAAGGGAAACGATCCAACAGGAACCAGCCACAAAGACACAGACGAGAGAGAATTTCGATTTTTTTTTCTTCAATGCTCGTCGTCGAAGACGACCACGACGACGACGTGTTTTCTCCTCTGTTTTTTTGGAACGGCCTAAAATGGCCAACAAATGACCAAAAGCGATCGCCACCACAGCAACAAACACCGGAGTAAGAAAATTATATAATGGACAAATTTTTTGCAGCTGTATCATTATTCCGTCGTCGGAAATATGATGAGTGCATCGAGGTGTGCAACGAGCTGCTGCAGAATAATGCCCTTCATCAAGGTCCTTGGGAGCTGAAGATGCGATCTATGACCCAGCGAGTGTACATCGACGATATCGAGGCGGACGACGATGTGGCAGGTAAGTCCTGACATGGGGGGCGGGGATGCACGATGGTGAGTGTAGTGTGTAAGCTCAGTGGCAACAACAACGGCCCAGCCCACCACCGTCTGATTTACACCCGGCCTGAGACTGGCAGCAGTAGCAGCAGCGGCAGCATCATCATCATCATCATCATCATCATTCCATGCTACTGCTGTTGCTGCTTCTGCTGTTGCACTATCTGCACTTTCGTATCGTACATTTATTTATGCACTCTGACGGTCAGTATCGCTGTGGCAGTTTTTTTTTATCTTGATCATTATTATACATATTTTTTGGTGCTTCTCATTTTTATTACGCGAACGTGGATTCCTTACGATGGGATTTTTTCTTAGTTTTAATTTTTGATGAGATTTGCCAGATATCACCAGGGATATCACCTGCTATATGAGTTATCATTCAGATCAGTGTTTCTCAATCCATGGGTTGCGACCCATCTGTGGAACGTTTTTGGAACTGAGGGCACATAATGTCAATGAACAACTTCAGACGCAACGCTAGGGCAGCGAATTTTTCAAAAAACTCACTGCAGCATTAAGAAAACCACTACACGTGCAATCCAATAAGGAATGTTTTTGGACCTTGAAGAAATGCAAGAAACGAAATATTGGTTTTTCAATTATTAGGTCTTGGTCTAGCAAATTTTTGTAAAATCTGGACAGTTTAAGGTAACATAAAATAACATAACAGCTTATAAAATTACTAAGATATTCTTAATAACACTTTTTTCACACAAGCTCTTATAACGATACCCATTCTGCGGCGCGAGTGAGGTGAGGTGGGTCACTGTCGCTATTTTTTTTTCCTTGATTTGTTTTCCGTCGATCTTGTTTTCCGTGCTGAGCACCAATGCTACCGACGCCAGGGAGGCAGCTCCCATACCTGGACCCTACCTATCGACCGAACACTCATGAACCGGGGACCAACGGCTTTACTTCCCTTCCGAAGGAAGGCGTGGTCAGAGATGTTATGCCTCAGAACATCCCGGCGGCGCCGACTGGGATTGAACCCAGGCCTGCTGGGGTGAGAGGCAATCACGCTTACCACTACACCACCGGCGCCGATAACTCGTAAGTAACTAGTAAGGTGACAAAAGTCACCGCGAGTGAGGTGACTGTTCATTTGATTTGCACGAAGAGTCACCTTACTCGCGGTGTCTTTTGTCACCTCACTAGAGACAGCGAGTCACTTCACCTCACTCACGGCACAGAATAAGGGGGACAGAGTTGATGTGGTCAGTTAAGTTGTCATGTAGCACGCTTGTCTCAAATAGGTCGTATAAATTTCTAGACATTCGACTTATTTAAGCCATAAACAATGTGCTGTAGCTTTGTAGATAGAAGTCTTATTCGGGTTGCGGAAAATTTTATCGGAAACATCTATGCGGAAGACACTTATTGCCTATCGACTATAATTGATATTTTTTGAAGTTGCTTTAAAACAGAAGATTTAAAACCGTGATGATTCTTGAAGATTTTTAAAATATTCAAATTAACTGGAGTTATTATTTAGTGAGTATAATTCAACAGTGAGCATTCATAAGGGCCTAACTGCGATGATCGATTATCTTCATAAATTTTCTCTACGCCCTGAATGTTTCAATAGAATTTCGCAAACAAATGTTAAATTTAAAGTAGAAAACTCGGATTTAGAAGCGGTGACCACTTCCAAAATCTTATGAAAAAAAGTCTACATAGTTTATGGGTAACCCCTTAAAGTTGTACGAATTTTACAGAGGGCAGTCATGTGGTCCTCATGATATTTACGTAGGTTTCGAATCCACATTAAATCTAAAATTAAACAGCAAAAAATTCTGAATAATAACGCACGCTTTAGTTCCAGCACTTTTTGAGTCCTGGCGATTTCTCAAGCAAGGCTCCTTCATAACTCTATAATAGGGTGGGTCATGATCATTTTTTATTTTTTTTTTTTGGGTTTCATTTTGTGCATAATTTGGAGACGATTTGTTGTAACCCGGATTTCCGCATTGCGTTTGAAATTTGTATGGACATTAGTATGGGAAAACATACTTTTTTGCATTTTCATTCATTGGGGTCACAATTTTGCTTGAACCATGCAACTAATCATGTTGATATTCCAGGAAGTGCCTAACAACTTTTCCGAAGGATGTACGATGTAAGAATGTCTCTAAAAAAGTTATAGCTATTCAAAGATCGATGTTTTGAACTGAAGGTCAGAAATCACTTTCTGTCAACACTGCCGGTGTGCCAATGAAAATTTCTTACCTTATCGATTCGGTGTGTTCAGATGATTTATTCAAAAACAATAGCTCTGTTTTATATACGTAGTTGTTTGCCCCGTAACGTGGGTAGATCGCCTTTTCGTGGTACGTAACGGGATGAAAGATCAACCACTGATTCCTAATCTTGACTTCTTCAAACTAAGGGAACAGCATTTTTCAAATTAATAAAAGGAACACATATTAGTCCTTGTTTATTTTTATTCCTTGTTGATAGTGATAAGTCCTCAGGGGGGAGGTAGCTCATCGATTCTTCCGGTTTGCCTCCTAGCATCGTGCTATAAGGTACCAGGCGATAACCAGGGTAGTTGATCGATAGCTTGATGACGTCATTTCGTTGGCGTCTGCAATGGGAAATTCTCGTAGCAGGCGTTGACGATGGGACGTTGTCGAGTTGTTGAATAGCAACTATCGTGGTTACCTGTCAATCTGCCAAATTTGGAAAGACGTCTGCATTGAATTGTCTCATATAATATAATATTCCGCCCACTATATCACAAGAAATTGCGAGTAGCTGAGTGGAATGGAGATAAGTTAGGCATTGGGTACAGGACCAAGTCTCCCCTGGGTGGTGCCAGAAGATGAGCGCAATAGAATCATCAAGTTGCCATAAGGCACGGAATGAGACTATTGCATGGCTGGGTAGTCAAAGTCTTCCATTCGTTAGTCATTTCAGGTGGATTAGAACAGGTTTAGGTTTAGGGTGGGCGTTGGCCAGATTTGGATTTTTCAGATATAATCCTAAATAGGACCTAGATTATTTAATACACTAGTAACCTCAACTTTTGTCACAATGTTTCATTGTGACTAATCAACACTCAATGGGTAAAATATCAAATTTGCTGTAAATTTGAAAAAAAAAAGGTAACTTGGAGTGTAGAGCGCACTGCCCACTGGACGATTCTGAAGCCTGACCAAGTGAGTGGGTTACGGGTTTATTTGATTGTACGTCAATTCCAAGTTATATATAGATACATTCATACCATTGGCATTTTGTATTTGAGATGAGACAGAGACAGGATGCGGAGGGCCCGCTTAGGGGGAGCGTAACCCGTCAGGCCCTGCCCTGGAATAAGGGGATTGACGATGATTTGTCAAGTTTCATTTTGCATTTGCATATAATTGTAAGTTTAGGTTTGCTTTTGTAATTGTAAGATAGATAGTTTGCCTCAATTGAAACATTGAGTTGTATAAACTTGACGAATCATACCTCTAAAATAGTAGTAGTTACAGTGCCGCATTATCTAACAACCACTGCCTGCAACTAATGTTGGAGGGGCCGGCAGGGCTGATTACGGATCAAAACTAACATAACTCTAAACTGAAATGATCTCGAAACTAACGCTCATTCATTGCACTTTGAGTCATAAAGTAGTTTTATTTATTTTCCTATTAATCTATCTACACACTTAGTTTTTTCTACCGAGCTCGGCTGTGCGGGTCTCGGCGGGAAGGGTTTCACTGAGATCTCGGCGGGAGTGACATTTGATTGAGGTCTCGGATAATGCCTTTTCTAATAATCTGCCTACGTTTATTTTCTTTGTTATCTACTTTATCCCCTTTTTATTTTTCTGCTCTTCTTTCCTCTTCTCTTCATTTGTTTTGTTTGTTTACATATAACTAATATTAATACCTCCTTGTTTTCTCACTAATTTGTCTACTATGTCCTACCATCACGATGAGAGATGAGCTACCGTACATGGTACAGCTCATATACACTCCCAAAATAGTATGCCGCAAGTAAGTATATCACAGAGGCAAACAAACAAAAACCGATAACGCTGAATATAATGAGCTGTGGTGATTTATATGACTATATAGTATTATTTATTTATACTAACCTAAACACAACGTGGGGTGACCCAAATCCAAACGATCACTAACCAAAATAATAGACTTATCTTTTTTTTCAGCAGGTGTAATTTCGTATAGTTCTGTTTCTCTCTTTTCAGCAAAACAACAACAAAAAAACCTCTATAACTCTTCTCCATTCTTTTAATCTCCTAATATCCCCTATAAATGTATCGGAAACTAGTGGGATTGTCTGTGCAAACAGAAACAGGCCTGCTAGTGGAAGAAGGTCGTTATGCTATACGGTCTAGCATAGGCCTACGGCCAGGTTTCAGTAGGTGCTTATGCCTTTGTTGTCGTTTGGAACCACTTTTGCGAGGTAGGCGACGATTGTGCGTATTTCTCGCGTAACTTTTGAAAAGGGCCTATTTATAGCCTGAACAATACGTAAAGAGCAAATTGAAACATTGAACGTCGCGTGAAAGTGGAACTTAATGAAGGCCTAAGTACTTTTTCGTAGTTTTTAGTTTTCGGATTTGAAAGATCGTCGGCTACAGTGGCCTGCTTACTGAGCAAAAATACGTGGTTCCAGGTCCTTACATATCAAAGAGATTTATGGTAAAATCGCTCGTGTATCGTGTATTTTGCGAAACTCGTTGTTGTCGTTGGTTCCAGGTTTGAATGGATACAAAAATTTGAGCAACGGTATTATGTGATATGAGGGACTCGGTGGCCTTAGAGCAACCGTTTTTGCTTACTGAGCAGAACATCATGAGTCTAATCTCAGGCCCATCCACATTCAAGATTCGTCAATCGTTTTATTTGTTAATATGACTACATGGTAATAACAGAAACTCGGTGATTAAAAAGGTGCTCGTCTACCTAGTGGCAAACGTTTTTGCTTACTAAGCAGAAGACCGTTGGTTTA